CCCACTAAGGCCCATATACCTCCCGGGGGGTTCCGGTAACCTCCCAGTACTCCGGTAAAATCCCGATTTCACCTGGAACACTTTCGATATCCAAATTTAGGCTTCCAATATATCAATCTTTATGTCTCAACCATTTCGAGACTCCTCGTCATGTCCGTGATCACATTCGGGACTCCGAACAAACTTCGGTACATCAAAATGCATAAACTCATAATATAACTATCATCGAAACCTTAAACGTGCGGACCCTACGGGTTCGAGAACAATGTAGACATGACCGAGACACGTCTCCGGTCAATAACCAATAGCGGAACCTGGATGCTCATATTGGCTCCCACATATTCTACGAAGATCTTTATCGGTCAGACCGCATAACAACATACGTTGTTCCTTTTGTCATCGGTATGTTACTTGCCCGAGATTCGATCGTCGGTATCTCAATACCTAGTTCAATCTCGTTACCGGCAAGTCTCTTTACTCGTTTCGTAATACATCATCTCGCAACTAACTCATTAGTTGCAATGCTTGCAAGGCTTATGTGATGTGCATTACCGAGAGGGCCCAGAGATACCTCTCCGACAATCGGAGTGACAAATCCTAATCTCGAAATACGCCAACCCAACATTTACCTTTGGAGACACCTGTAGAGCTCCTTTATAATCACCCAGTTACTTTGTGACGTTTGGTAGCACACAAAGTGTTCCTCCGGCAAACAGGAGTTGCATAATCTCATAGTCATAGGAACATGTATAAGTCATGAAGAAAGCAATAGCAACATACTAAACGATCGGGTGCTAAGCTAATGGAATGGGTCATGTCAATCACATCATTCTCCTAATAATGTGATCTCGTTAATCAAATGACATCACATGTCTATGGTTAGGAAACATAACCATCTTTGATTAACGAGCTAGTCAAGTAGAGGCATACTAGTGACGTTTGGTTTGTCTATGTATTCACACAAGTATTATGTTTCCGGATAATACAATTCTAGCATGAATAATAAACATTTATCATGAAATAAGGAAATAAATAATAACTTTATTATTGCCTCTAGGGCATATTTCCTTCAGCGACGGGGTCGCATCTTTCGTGAGTCTCTGCTTGTTACCGCGCGTTCCTAATCCACTATGATTTGGATATTTGATCCGAGGGGCCTCTGGCCTGATAGCACTAACCATCACGTGGGCATAGTATGGGCGTTCTGCGTCGTATGCATCGGCCGAAGCTTAATAGACGTCAGCGACTGAGCGGCGCGCGCCGGGTTGGACTGCGTAAGTACCTGCCTTTTTGAAGAAGGTAGCTAGGTCTGCTCACCGGCCGCCCACGCAATGTGCAGGAGTTCCCGGGGCGATGGCCCATGACCCCTGGGGGCATAGGTTTAGTCCGGCGTGCTTGACCTCTCTATTAAGCCTAGGTCAGGTTGCGGCGTATTGTTTGGCCAAGGCCGGGCATGACCCATGAAAGTGTGTCCGACTGGAGTTAATCGAGCATGGTGGGTAAGTTGGTGCACCCCTGCAGGGAAGAAAACATCTATCGATAGCCTGTCCTATGGTAACGCACACTTGGAGTTGTATCCCGATCGATACAACTAGAACTGGATACTTGTGATGAGAAATGGATTGTGATGAGAAATGGATAGTATGGCTCTGGGATTGCTTTCTTGCAGGGAGTCGAGAAAGGATCTCTGACCGAGGTTGATAACACTACTACTTTACATTATGTTGATCCGTACCCTTCTATATGCTGCAAGATGCTTGAAGATGCTAGTTTTCGATAGGCTAGACTTTCCCCTTCTTTCTGGCATTCTGCAGTTTAGTCCATAGATACTACCCATTTCATTGATACCGATGCATATGTAGTGTAGATCCTTACTTGCGAGTACTTTGGATGAGTACTCACGGTTGCTTTGCTACCCCCCTTTCCCCCTTTTTTCTTCTTTCTGGTTGATGCAACCAGATGTCGGAGCCCAGGAGCCAGATGCCACCGCTGATGCCTACTACTACGTGGAGACCGCCGACGACCAGGAGTAGTTAGGAGGCTCCCAGGCAGGAGGCCTTGCCTTTTCGATCGATGTTGCTTTTGTGCTAGCCTTCTTAAGGCAAACTTGTCTAACTTATATCTGTACTCAGATATTGTTGCTTCCGCTGACTCTTGTGTATTCGAGCCCTCGAGGCCCCTGGCTTGTAATATAAAGCTTGTATTATTTTATTTGTGTCTAGAGTTGTGTTGTGATATCTTCCCGTGAGTTTCTGATCTTGATCGTACACATTTACGTGTATGATTAGTGTACGGTCGAATCGGGGGCGTCACATGTAACCAGAATGACATGAAGTTGTGTCCATGTATGGCCAATCAAGGATGGACAAGGACATAATCAAAATACGACGGTGCCTTCCCAAAGAACGTTGCGATGATGGATGATGGCCTCGACGTTTAAGCCGCAACACTTGCATATGTTGTTCGAGGATTTATAATTTAAACCGGGGGCAATGCCTTCGCTTAAAGAATTTATGGATTGCTCGAAACCAAATTTTAGGGGATCCTATTACAGTCCTTTTCTAGATTTTTTTTCTTGTATCTTGTAATATATAAAAGCTGATAAACCTATTATGTTAGCAGTTAATACTCCCTCCGTAATAAAGAAATATAAGAGTTTTAGTACTACTAATCGCCTCTCTGGAAGTAGGACTCGATTCTCCTGAAAAATATTTTGCAAGAATTGGAGAATTTTCTCCTCAAACGAAATTACCTCGAAATCAACGGAGGTGAGGCGCGGTGCGGTGCTCCGCAGGTGAGCTGGAGCCGGACCCCCCCACCGTGTCCGTGACGCGCAGCGCCCGTCGTTGCCGTCCACGTTCAAACGCGCGTCGCCACCGCCCCGTTAGCCTCACCCCCCACCCTAATCCCAAAGATTCCAATTTTCCAATCTAGCCAGTCGCCATCGGAAACCATTGGCCGGTCGCCACCCCACGCCGCCGTTGACGACCCCGTCGCGCGCCCAGGCGGCCAATAAACACCGCTCCCGCCCCCCCGCCCCCCGCCGCGTGCCGCGTCGAAGGGAGCGAGGAGGAGGAGCGAGGAGGATGGTGAGGCTCCCGTACCTGACCGCGCTCACCACGCTCTTCAGCTACGGCCTCCTCTTCGCCTTCGGCCACTTCCGCGACTTCTTCCGCCGGATCCTCGACGCCGGCAAATCCAGCAACCTCAAGGTCCGTCCGTTACTTCAGATTCGCCGTCTTCTTCTCCCCCTGGTGCTGACGCCGCTCCTGCTGCTGACTCCGCAGGGTTACGCGCCCATTTGCCTGGGGTACGAGGATTTCTACACGCGCCGCCTCTACCTCCGCATCCAGGTGAGATCTCCTCCCCACTTCGACGATTCGCAGAATTAGAACTTTTTTTCCCTCTAAAGGTGGGCTTGGATCATGTGATTCCGAGTTAGTTGACTTGAGTTGCTAGTGGTGGTGGGCGTGGTAAATTTAGTGCCTGCTTAGGTAGATCACATGATGGAGACTTGGAAACTGTCCCAACTGAAAATTCATTTGATCTGTTGTTGTACTTGCTAGCTTTTTTCAGCCTTTTTTTTCTTTGCCTTTTATGTACATACATAAACCCCAATTTTTATGCCAGAACCATGAGATCTCAACTGAAACTTTGGTCCATTCGTCTTATTAATAGTTGAATGAAGTGAAAAGGTTGCTTGTTTTGAGCCATCCTGAATGTGTCATTCATTCTTCAGCATTTTTCTGTGCTATTCCAGTCCCAAGGAACAGAGTAAATAATTATCAGAAAGAACCAATCTTTAGTCTGGGTAGATGTGTGTGAAACCATATCTCTACAATGCAACCAATCTTTAGTCTGGCAATATGCACCCTCTGGAATGACATGTTGATCACTTTTTTTGTTTACCTTTCCTTGTTGGGTGGGCAGGACTGTTTTGGCCGACCTATTGCCAGTGCGCCCGATGCTTGGTTTGATGTAGTTGAGCGTCACTCAAATGACGGCAACAAGACACTCCAGTATGTTTTCCTCACATTTGACTCCACACCTAATTAGCATAAGCAAGTGTTATCCCAGGGTGAATGCTAGTCTCTAATTCGGTGCATCTTTAACGCAGACGTACCACAAAAACATCCAAGTGTCTTAACTTGGGTTCCTACAACTACCTTGGTTTTGCTGCAGCAGATGAGTACTGCACTCCTCGTGTTATTGAGTCACTCAAGAAATACTCTGCCAGTACTTGCAGTGCCAGAGTTGATGGAGGTAGGTGCTTATATGTCCATGCCATAGTTTGCCTCAATTTAATACTTCAATAATATGGTGAAACTAACGCTAATTGATCTCTGTATAATCTTAGGAAATACTAAGCTGCACACAGAGCTCGAGGAACTAGTTGCACGATTTGTTGGCAAGCCTGCAGCTATTCTTTTTGGCATGGGTTATGTGACAAACTCTGCGATCATTCCTATTTTGATTGGGAAGGTCTGTGGTGAGCAGAGTATTTTATTTGTCTTCTCTTTTTCTGTTACATGCTGGACTAATGTATTTTAATGATACCAGGGGGGGCTGATAGTTAGTGATTCACTGAACCATATTTCTATAGTGAATGGAGCCAGGGGTTCAGGGGCTACTGTCCGGGTTTTTCAACATAACAGTAAGCTCACTAACAGCTGCATCTCATGATGTGCACTTAACGATGAGGCAGGAAGTTTAATGTTTCCCTTATTTTCTTCCAGACCCTGCACATCTGGAAGACGTACTGAGGGAGCAGATTGCAGGGGGGCAACCTCGTACACACAGGCCATGGAAGAAGATAATTGTGATTGTTGAGGGAATTTATAGCATGGAAGGGGAGTTATGCAACCTTCCTGAGATTATGGCTGTCTGCAAGAAATACAAGGTGTGAGAATTGCGCATACTGACTCCTTGTTCTGTTATCAGTAATGAAAAACTGTAGTTCCTTTGCACGCTATAAGTGTTACTTATGTCATACATAGTATTCCCTCCGATCCATAATACATGTCGCAGTTTTGAACTAAGGTTGAACTAACCTTAGTTCAAAGTTGACACTTATTTTGGATCGGAGGGAGTACTGCAGTTCACAAGCTGTTCAAAAATTTCAAACTGGTAGTGATGTATCAGTGTATTGACTTGGAGTTCTTATAAACATCTTAATAGGCCTACACATATTTAGACGAGGCACACAGTATTGGAGCTGTTGGAAAGACTGGAAGAGGTGTATGTGAACTACTAGGAGTGGATCCAGCTGATGTCGACATCATGATGGGAACATTTACAAAATCGTTTGGATCGTGCGGAGGTTATATTGCAGCATCAAAAGTATGAAAGATCCACCTACCAATTCTTGACTGAATGATATATATATTTGATAAATCTGACCCATATGCCATTCTATATTCTTAGGAGATCATTCAACATCTCAAGCACGCATGCCCAGCCCATATTTATGCAACATCCATGTCGCCTCCAGCAGTCCAGCAGGTCATCTCTGCGATAAAGGTCGTCCTTGGGGAAGATGGATCTAACAGAGGTATATCAGGAAGGATTTAATGTTTTTATGGCTTCCATGTGTCTCTTGTCTTGGGGAAATTCCTAACGCAGTCGTTGCTGTAAATAGGGGCCAAGAAACTTGCTCAGATTCGGGAGAACAGCAATTTTTTCCGTTCAGAGCTTCAGAAAATGGGTTTTGAGGTGCTGGGAGATAATGACTCACCTGTCATGCCTATCATGCTTTACAATCCTGCTAAAATTCCTGCATTCTCAAGGGAGTGCTTGAGACAAAATGTGAGTTTTCATATCTAGCGACCATCCATTAGATGCACGTCGTCATCTGTTTTTGCATGAGAATTTCTCAAGCAGTTCATGTTTATGTTTTTATTTGGCGAAGTTCTGATTTTCTTTTCGCTAATGTGGCATGTTCTGTAATTCTAGGTTGCTGTTGTGACTGTTGCATTTCCTGCAACGCCACTACTACTTGCCAGAGCTAGGATATGTATCTCAGCTTCTCAATCAAGGGAGGATCTAATTAAAGGGTTGGAGGTAAAGTCAACACTCTTGTCAATGCCCGTACATGCTTTGTTGCGATATTTTCACTTTAATTCCAAATACAGAGTACAATTGATCTGAATCCATGGAATGTGAATGCATTTGTAGATTATGCGTTGTGTACACAATACATCCCCTGATCATAATTTCATGCAAATTGTTCAGGTTATCAGCAAAGTTGGTGATCTCATCGGAATCAAGTACTTCCCCGTTGAGCAAGAGAAGGTTGCATCTGTTGACAAACTTAAGAAGCTTGAGTGAATAGTGACAATGGACAATTGGAAGAATTCTGCTGCTGTTATGCTAGATCTACTGGGTCATCTTGGTAGTGCACCATGCCTCGGTTTTGCTCTTTTGTGCACCTCAGGACCCTTCATTTTCCTTTGTCTGAAGTGGTTTTGATTTTGTACAGACTGTATTATCATCCATCATAGTTTGAAACTTAACACGGCTCTATACACTGTTTTGTCGAATTCAAGAAAAAAGAAATCCCTGTACAACCTTGTAAGTGACTGAAATCATGTAGATACTAATTTCCTTCTTATTACTGACTTCCTTTCAAGGCGCAAGATCAGCTGCATCGACCATGTCCGAAACCAGCTTGACAAAAAATATTGTATCAGTATCTGTCAAATCTAGTTTGTGACTTGATACTGGTGGGTCTAGTTTCATAAACCTAGTGTCAGAACAGTTGAAACAAAATTGGATCTTAAAATCTCCCAAGTGCTCCACATGAGTGGCTAAGCACCCTTCTAGTGATCAGTGTGTAGGATAATACTGTTGTTTGATCATATTGAATTATCTCAACATGGCTCCCCATCAGGTGCAGCTGTGTAGGTTTTACAGCTGTGCTTTTTTTCTTTTCTTTTGAGACCTCTCCTTTGAAGTACAGCTGTAGACTGCTAGACTGTAGTATGGTTTTACAGTTGTGCTGCAAGGACATGAAGATATTATGGTGAACTGGTATGGCAAGTCAAAAGAGGAACTTGGCCTTTTGCCAATGAGAAGAAACTAGTTGGGCCTTGGGCCCTTGGTTAATTTATGGATGTGAGCAATGTGCATATCAAGGGAGGACAGTCACTCAAGTGAGCATCATCAGGAGGCAGGTAAGGGAAATGCTGTGCCATGCTGCTGGGACTGCACAAGCATGTGATTCAATTCAACTGGAGCAACACTGTCTTTCTGGTCCAATGTGCCTCTGCTTGTCCTGTTATGTTTTGGCTGCTAGCAAGATCAAGGAAGAGAAGAGAAAATAGATATTGCTGAGGGGGTGAGGCTGTAGCGTGCATGTCTAGGGGCTGGAGCATGCAGGAGAGGAGAGGAGGGCTTGGTCACGCCTGTCATGATTCAAATGCCTGGTGCATTGTGTGCTGCTGCTCCTGTGGTCTGATTGCCTTGCATGGCACAAAAGGGCTATGTAGTACTCTACATGTCTGGTCAAACAGCAAGCCTGCAGCAGTAGGAAACAATATGCAGGTGCATATTTGCAACTTTGCCTTGACAGGGAGGGATGAGAGAGAGGACTATGCGATGTTGGTTCTTTTAATAAAGCTTACTGGATTCTCTTTTTTCTCTTTGAAGGAAAAAGAGCCTACTGGATGATTCTCTTTTTGGGTGATTCAGACTATATGCTGTACCATCTGCTGAGGCTGATATGATATGGTGTACTATGGGCAGTATGTGGGAAACTAAATTGAGAGGCAAAATTGCTTGCAGCATGGCAACAGTGAGAGGTATGTATGGCATGAGACAAAAAGAAGGCTTCTACCTGGCTGCTGCTGCCAATCCATCATCCAGTGTACATCGAATAATAACTGTTAAATGCTGGAGTATTTTGAGCAGCCAGATTTTGGAAATTTGACAAGATGGGCTAGGTATCTCTGTTGGAGCCAGCAGAGATGATTATTCCTGGTCCCTGATACTCCCAATCTCTGCTTCTATCTCTGTTGGAGCCAGCACAGGTGATTATTCCTGGTCACTGATACTCTCAATCTCTGCTTCTGTATCTCTGTTTGGAGCCAGCACAGGTGATTATTCATTCCTGGTCACTGATACTCACAATCTCTGCTTCTTTTCTTCTACTCATATTCTTTAGGTTTGTGCTGGACTCAAAGCCTGCTCTGTCAAGGCTACTAACTGCATTTTCTGCTTGGAGTGGAGTAGCTTAATTAAGATTATCTTCCTAGCCTGCAAACCAGAAAGCATGACACTGTCTAGGAGCAGCCCTTGAAAGAGAAAACTGTCTAGGAGCAGGCATTAGTGAGTGCATTGCATTGCATAGAGCTAGGTGCTGTGCACATACGTGTGCGTGCATGCATGACTGCATAGTACTGCTTGCTTTCTACATGCATGCTGGTTTAATGCATGGCTCTTTTCAGAGGCTTGCATGCATAGATTTGTACCGCCAATTTGTACTGGCTAAGCTTTTTTGTGAGTAGGAGTAACACATCTACCCCCACCCCCACCCCCACAGCCATAGGCCATCAAACAAGGATACAAAAACAGTAAAAGGAGACAGCACATGAACAGGGAGGAAAGATGCCCTAAGCCTGAGGCAGGCCTGTTCCTGCAATTATGTAATGTGCTGGCAAGTGAGTGAAGCAGCCAGCCATCCAGCCTGCCTGCAGTGAGAGCACTAGCTAGCCACACCCACAAGGCTTTTTTCAGAGACAGCTAGAGACAAAAACAAAGCAGAGAACAAGCTAGCTAGCTTGCTTGCCTGCCTGCCTGCCCCTGTGTGTGGTTTTGAGCTGGCTCACAAAGATTCAGTGATGTGTCTTTCCATGGCATGATCAGTGTGCATGGCTGTGTGCTGCCCTGCTGCAGCAAGGCAAAGGTTGCAGCATGCAGCCAACCTTGCATGCATGCATGTGTGCATGGTCCACAAGATCTTCCTCCTTGACACATCACAGGAGACCATGATCAAAACCCTGACCTCCTCCAATCCAAACATCTTGTCATGCTCAATCTTTTCCTCCTCCCCCTCCCCTGCCACATTGGAGATATGAGAGAGAGAAATGGGGAAAAGACACAGAGCTTTAAGTCTCTCTCTCCCCCTTGTGTGCTTGTGTGTGTGTGTGCACACTTTATAGGCATGCAGAAGTGTGGGCAGGCCAAGACGCTGCGGCAGCCTGCAGCACAAGGCAAAGTGAAATCCAATATCTATGTGTATATCTACTACCTATGCAAGTGCCAATATGCAGATGCAGTCAGCCAAACAGTGCTTTGCTATCAAGTGCCTCAATGCTCAAGTGCCCCCTGCCCTGGCTGCCATCATGAGTTTTATGTGCGTTTGTTTCAATGGCCCTGTTTGGATACTCTAACTTGGTTAGAGGTTAGAGTTATTTTCTAACTCTAGACTAACCTTAAACTAACTCTAGCCTTTGGTGGTGTTTGGATGAAAGGGTAAGTTTGAAAATAAATGCACTTTTTTCAATCATTTGACTCTTTTAACCAGGATTTGTTGTGACCGGCTCTTGTGTGGGTGACCGGTGCCGCGGCCGGCGAAGGTTGCGTCGAAGATGGTGCGGATGGATGGGAACGGGATGGAGGCGGACAGGGCGGGCGGACTGATGCGGCGGGATGGAGGCGGACGGGGCCGGCTGGGGCAGGCGGAAGGGACGGTGGCGGGCGGACAAACTGGTGCGACGGGATGGAGGCGGGCAGACAGGGGCGGCGGGGGCGGGCAGACGCGGCCGGTGTGGGCGAGCGGACGCGACCGGCGATGCAGGGCGACAGGGGCCAGCGGGGAGGAGGAGAACGAGATGCATCGGAGGGGAGGAGAACGAGAGGCAGCGGGGACGAATGGATAGGATCCGGTGCGGCTGCATGCGACAGAAAAAGAATTTTTTTAGGGCCCCACCACAACTAGCTCCAATTAGCACCTCTTCACAGGGATAGTTTTTTTGGTGGGTTAGTTCCAATCTAACTCAAACTAGCCCATGTGTTTGGATATTTTAAGAGTTAGTTCAGCCCCAAGTAGCTCAAAGTAGCTCTAGCCCTGGGAACCAAACAGGGCCAATAAGGTGAGCCTAATAAAGGAAATCTATCAGAGAAGAAGAGAGAGGAGGTGCATGTGTCCCATGGGATTGATGGATTGATGGATTGATTGATCACACAGAGATTGAGCAAAGCAGCAAGGACATGTCACTCCTATCATTCCCATCTTTACTGATTAGAATCCAGATTTGTTTGCATCTACATGCACATACCTTTGTGCTGATGTATATCTGTTTTTCTGCTGACATTAGATTGGGGTAAAGAATGAAGTTATGGACTACTAAAATTAAATAAAATATAACTACTTACTGTGTCTGGAACAGATGGGCATCTGTACTGACATTTTAACTGCCTTCTCAACATGTGTCTGGTGAGCAGTGCCATCTTGTGAGCATTCTATGGCTGCTCAGAATGTGCATATCTGTCAATTTCCTGTAGATACCATGCCATTCACCATCTGCTCAGTTAGCCGACCCTGTGCTCGGGCTCAAATTCAATCATCTCAGAGAGCAAACTGTGGCACCTGAATAGTTTTTCATTCATTAATCCTCTATAACACTAAGCCCCCTAATATAAAAGGGTTCACGATCAATTGAACTCTCCACTTGAAATTGGGTCACCCGATTTTGACCGGGTCAATAATTTCTCAAAGCACTCACATTCCATTCTTTTGTGCTATACATTATGCTTCCTAATTCTTAAAACCTCACAATTAATTGGTATTCAATTTAAAGTCGAGTCACTCAATTTTGACCGGGTCAATAATTTCTCAAGGTACTCTCTCATTTAATTATTTTTAGTTTACTATGTTCCCTAATTTTCAAACTCTTTCATTCGATCGAGGTATTCAATTTTGTATTTGGTTTACGATTTTGGTCGGGCCAATGATTTTTCAAATCAATTAGCAGCAACCGGACTAAAAAAACATATAAATCCCGCGAACCTTCCCACCATCTAGAAAAAAGAAACGCGACTATGTGATACTATAGCACCAATATAGTACATGCAGTTACCGATGTAGAAAGTTCCCCACATAAATACGAGTTTATTAGCAGATAACACAAAATCACATCGAGAAAGGCCCACAATCATCATATTATAAAAATAAAATAAAACACATTCCATCATCTCCCCGCTCCGCCAAACTAAATATTCCTCAATTCCAAAATATAAGGGGTATTAGTCTTTGAAAATCAAATTCTATTAGCTTTGACCGAGTTCAGAGCAAAAATATCAACACCCACAATATTAAACAAAAAAAAAGAAAATTCATTTCATAATGAATCTAATTACCAATTTGATATTATGGATTTGGGTATATTTTTTAATAAATTTAAACAAATATAAAAGGCTTTATCTTTAAAAAAATAATGCACCATATATTTTAAAATAGAGTGAGTTACTTTCTAAAAACAACAACACCAACAGCGCAGCAAAGCGTGCACAACCCTTCTAGTAAATGATAATTCCTGAAGGACAAGCTATTGATCTCTTCAGCTGCGTGAAGGTTCACTTCTACTCCATCCATTCCTAAATATGTCTTTTTAGAGATTTTAATATGGACTACATATAAAGCAAAATGAGTGAATCTACACTCTAAAGTACGCCTATATACATTCCTATGTAGTCCCAATTGCAATATCTAAAAATACTTATATTTAGAAACAGAGGGAGTAGCTTATACTACCTCCGTTCTAAAATATATGACGTTTTGGTAGGCTGTTTATTTGTTAACACAACGTGGGAAAGCAGGTTGTTAATTCTACGACAGCTTTCTGTCATATATATGCTCCTAACGTAGACTAGCTATTAGCATGTTCATAAACTATTTCTCCTTCGTCATGATTTTTTTCTTCTAAAAAAAGTCAATCAACATGTACATTTGGATTATAAGACATTGATTTGGTGCTGTTAGGGAGTAGTGACCGGCACGTATCCAGCCTATGTTTTTGTGTGTACCATTTAATCTAGTAAATGAATAATTTGCGCGATAAAACATCCATATGATATGATGGCCATGCATGTCAATGGAGACAATCAACTTGCTAGTAATATACACTGCAAATGTGCAGTTACAAACCGTGTGTGCGCAACGTGGAGGCACTATCCGTTTGCTGCATCTTCTAATTTAATTTTGATAAAACTGTCAAACGCGCTGCATGATTGCATAATGATCTCGCAATCTTTCATTTGCCATAACCAATTGGTGAAATTTAAAGCATGTATGTATGCGGCTGTGCTTGTGCTTGATTGTTTTGTGTTCATGTGCTAAATAAACTAATGCCCTTGCGCAGCTGTGTTAGCTCATAGGTGTAGGCTAATTAGTTGTATATTACAGAGTCAGAGAGTGCTCATGCATGGAGTCCCTTAATTAATCTCTGTTACGTGATGACCTCACCTGCACATAACTGACAACGGCTAACCAAGTATGTATGATACATCCAGCTGCTCTGGATAATTATGACACTGAGAATCTGTATATACACACTATACTAAGCTCAAGTGGATACATGTCAATTGTACACAAGCAAATAGTATAATGCTCAATTATCATCACCATCATAGTTCTCACTGTATACATGTAATGTACTGATTGATCCATGTTACATGCATGCATGCATGACCCTTGACTTGGGATATGCTGGACCAAGAAACAGAGTAACATGATCTAGCTAACCGACAAATTACTCTCATGAACATAACAATTCTCAGTATAATAAAATGACCAATGGTGGGATATGTTCCAGTTTATTTTGGTTAACATTTGTTGTACAAATAGTTGTCTGCTCATCTTTACAGTATCCATTACCACCACATCTCTAACTACCCTTGATGAGATGTACTATAATAAAAATGACCAATGACATTTAATTGGTTAATACTAGAACAAATAGTTGTCTGCTCATCTTTACAGGATCCCACCCCATCTCTAACTACCCTTGAACATTTATCTATTTTGACAGCTAACTGCTCTTTATCATATCTCATCAGACACAATATCACAACTCCTGGACTAACCAACCCTCCATATCTACATCTACTCAAATTAAGACTTCAATCAAATAAATATTGTATATACATCTAATTTAATTTACCAAAAAAACATCTGTGCATATGCTTCCTAGAAAGTGGCACCCCTTAACTAGAAGCTCAATCCGTAAATTTGTTTATTTTTCTAATCATTTTGCTAATTGATGCATGCACCATCGATTGTCTAGCGCTCAACGTGTCATTAACAACTTGTTTCTCTAATGTTGCAAACAAGTAGGTGATAACCATATCATATCTGTCATGATCCATGACTTAGCAACAGAAAAAACTAAGCTTTTGGCGACTAAGGAATATTGCCGGCCGAATGACCCTCCAACAGGAACAGAGACATGGCATCTACAACTTAAATGCCCCAAAAAGCAGCGTCCTAACTGAACAGGACCATAACAAGATATCCCCCAAAGAAAGGTACATGGTGCCTCATCCAACAGTGGCATTCCTCCTGAGCTGACCGACTGATTATTCAGCATTTCAGCATGTATGTTATGTGTTTGATGACATTGCGGTATAGTATGTTAACCGCGTTTAGTCGAGCCGACTTACGAACCCTGTTTCGCTATTTGATAAAAGGACATAAAAATAGATATTAGAACCAACCAACTCAAAAAAAATAGATATTAGAACCAACTAAAAATAAGATATTCGAAATTTAGAATAGGGCCATAGCCAAGAATAATGAACAGTGTGGTTGGTCTGTGGTATGTGTTTTTATTGTTGGTATATGAATTGGGAATTGTGAGTTTGCTTTTTTTTTTCTATGACAGTTTACAAATATGAATATAGTGTTCTTTTTCTTGAACACGACAGTTGTATAGAGTGTTTTTTTTTCTCAAACACACAACAGTTACATTTTAGCAACCCGAGAGTAGCATAAACGTGCATACGAAGAAAACAGAGGAAAAAGAGGAGTGGCGCAAAATGGCTACTTAGTAACTTTAGGGTGGTCAAAAGCTAACACCACTTAGACCAAATATAGTAACCTTGATGGAAACATCTGTGTTTTATGGACTACTATTAGTCATGTTTTAGGATTAGTGATAAGGTGAGTGCGTTGCCATGCTGCAGTCACTTCAACGTAGAACATACTTCACACTTACCTCCATCCATCCGTACGTCTCTCTCTAGCCTTCTCTTTCCCTCTCTCTCTCTCTACCCTTGTCTCTCTAGCATTCTCTTTCTTTCTGTACCCTATGTCCTACCTGAGTTTTTGCTGTTGGCGTAGGTAGTTTTCGTGTCCAGTGCCATGTCTGGGCCTTGCCCTTAGATTCTACAGCAAGAAGGCATGCACCACCCTAGCTTTTTTTTTTGCGGGAACACCCTAGCTTATGTTAGTACTGTTTATTATGGACTCACTTCCATCACAAATCACACATATAATTGTAAATTAATTAACTCTACTGACATGACAGCCCTCTCCACATCCTGTTTTTTATCCTTAAAATTCTTCATTTTCTCTCTCTCCTGTGGCTGTCCCCCCTCTCTCTCTTCAGCAACTTTTATTTATTTATTTAAGCTTCTCTCTCTAGCAAAGACTGGTATTAAGTTTCAGACCAAGGGGAAAGAAACATCTCTCGCCTCTCCTCTCCTCTCCCTCCTCATCTCCTTTGCTCCCCGGCCCATACCATAGGAAAGAAGTTAGAAGAGGATGGAGATGAGGCGGCCATGGACGCGCCTTGCCGTCTGATCAGCCACCGACATGAGACGTGCCTCCCGGCGGACGAGGTCAGCAACCGCAGGAGCAGCACATCCACGGCGCCGCCATGGTCCCAACCACTAGGAATCACCTGGCGCAGCACCATGAACCCAGCGGCAAGAACAGCAAACCGCCGCCGTCGTACTACTCCGGATACTACATCGCCTCCCAGCTGGAGGCTGCCTCGGCGGCCGCTCACGGCGTCGACGCCCTCAAGCTGCAGCCGTCCAGGCTCCCTCGTCGGCTAGCCATGGCCGGCGACGACAACGACAACGCCGAGGAGGAGGCGGCGGCCGGCACGAGCTCCCGGGGCGGCGGAGGGGACTACGAGGACGGCGGCAACAAGGACTGGCTCCGGCTTGGTCTCGGTGCCGTGGCGTCGTCCTCGTCGACCACCACGTCCTCCTCCTCCGCTGGAGGCGACAACGACGGCGCCAGGGCTGCTCCGATGGAGCTGGACCTGCTCGCCGGCGGCGACGGTAGAGAAAGCTCGAGGGTGACGAGCCGGCCGCCGCTGTTCCCGCTGCCCATCAGGAGCTATCACCACCAGTACGGCCACGGCTGGTATCGGCCGACGACGGCGGCGAGCGGGTCCATGACGCCGGCGCCGCCGTTCTTGCAGTTCGCGCGGCCGCTGAGGAGCTGCTCCGCCGATCTCTTGAGAGTCGTCAGCCCACCGACAAGAACGGAGGCCGCCGGCTTGTGGCTAACTCTTCAGGCAGCTCCCAACCAGTAAGCATATTAATCTCTACATACACAACAACTCTACATATATGTACACACATATTCAATTTGATTCTCTTCTGATTTTTTGTTTTGAATTTCATCATATTCAGTTAATTACTCATAGCAATGTCTCTATATATATGCACATCACGAATATGCATCTGATAACAATGCAAACCCCCTTGCATGCCCTTTTCGGAAAAAGAAAATCCCCCTGCATGCTGCATATATTATTTTTTATGATAAATTACATAGTTTTGCAAGTGCACATATGCCAACAAAGCTGCCTTAGATTGGATTTAATTTATATTTTTCAAGCTGCAGTGTGGAGCTCTAGTACTTAACTACTCTTCTTGCCATGCTCTTGCAGAGTTAGAGAGCCCATTTTGCCTCAGATACCAAAGAGCTACCTAAGAATCAGGTATAATTTGATTGCATTTTTTATTTCTTTTGCACTCCTCCGTAGAGTACAAATAATATTAATGTACAACAGTGTTATCGGTGCAGTATGCGTATGTATATGTAGCTCTCCTTGTTTAGTTAGTTTCTAGCTACAACGGCCTATGTAGAACGTAGCTAGCTAGTACTACTACCTATACCTTGCTAGTCTCAAAAGTTTCTAGGTAGTTCATCCGGCAGCTGGCTAGCTAATTAGCTATACATGTAGGATTTGTACCTATCGAATACAACTTTTGTTTTTTGTAATGATTTGGTATATATATGAATTGTTTAGTAAAAAACAATGACACATCAGTACGTGAATTGAAAGGTCATCCTTGCATTTTCATACACACATATATCTCAAAATGCATGCGTATATTATTTTCCACAGGGATACCAGCATGAAGGTGGAAGTGGTGCTGAAGTACTTGGCGGAGAAGCTAGGACTCTCACAATCTCATCAGGTACATCTCGAAATCGACCTTTAAATATTGCCAACTTTATGGCGGCATGGCTATATTTATATGCAATTTTAGGATTGCTGCATATAAACAATTTTATCCTCGGCAGATTGGTATATAGCACCCACTTCTTTTTTTTTACAAAAAACAAGCGTCTTTCATCTGTTCTGAATTGCTCTATGTGTCTTTCTCCATCACGTTAGTAACATCAAATTTAGCTGGGAAGCGCCAATCAAGTGATTAACTGCGAATAGTCGCGCGATTGTTGAATTTACACTGCAAGGTATAGAGAGCATTGGTTTCTTGTTGTGTGGCCGCATGTATGGTACACTATTGGCACTTGGAATAATCATGAAAGAAACACTATACCTAATTAAACGTACCACATAGCTAAGCTATGTCAGCATCGCATATATTGTTGGATATAGACAAAGCAATAGGTCAGGGGGCCACATCATATATGCATCAAGTTCTCTTAAACTTAAATAGTTCAAGATGTATAGCTAGGGATTTAATACAATTCACTTGAATAACATTTCTTACATCTATACAAAAAACTCTTCAGTACTACCCCGCAAAAAATAAAAAACTCGTCAGAACTAGAGTTAACTTAATAACAGAAACTCTATCTGTCTAGATGCATCGGTATAATCAACGGTGGGCAATTATCACAAAATTAAAGTCAAGACGGATATAATAACTTTTGCCCTCTGCACCTAAATATGCACCGTCCAACATATTCTCACGGAAATTAATTAGCAACTAATGGAGCAGGTGCATAACTATCAGCATGCACGCATGCATGCTGCAAAATAAGTTATACAGTATCACGTCAGCATCTTGTACGAATTTATGGATCGATCATATAGCTTGATGCACGCAAGAATATTGAGTTGCTTATGCTGTTTTTCTGTTGATACATAATGAAGTAGCTAACACACGATGCATGAGAGGGCCGGCTGACTGTTGAGGCGTCGATGCATGCCATACTGTGTTTCGACATGGCCATCCCAACTCATCCGTTAAGAGTGCACCAGCTGCCAACTTCGTTTTCATCAGACTTAATACAGTTCGTGTATGTATATCATTGTCAATAATTAATCATCTGAACTATACTAATCACGGTCAACTTGATTGTCTGATTTCGACGTGCTCTGCTTAACTTCGGCACGTTTTGTAGCATCCTTTGTGAATACAAAACTAACAATATTGCACAAATTCAATAATATGATTGCGTATAGAAAGTTCACGACTGCAACCGTGGATGATTTGTTTTTTCTTATTTAGTACTGCACTAAGATAGTACTCCCTTGGATTGCTAAAACAAAGACGATCAATCATTTAATTGCACGGTCTCTTGATTTTATTTCAACATTAACACAACCGCTGATGCTTATATACACTCATCCCTATAAATACACGCACGAAACGCCCTACTGCTATGAGCACTTCCAAGATACTGAGCCTGCACAACATCTTAAGATTGATAAAATCACCACAGACGCCTCATATTCGACGGGAACGTTTCCTCTAGCTGAACGAACATCGTCGAAAAGGCTGAAATAATTCCAAGAAAATGCGATCACCAATGCAAGTCTAGCTAGGACTTGAACTAATTAATTATACGGTCTCTTATTGATATGAAACTCTGATCATTACTTTCTGTATGGATACGTACACGCATAGCATAGCAAATTATATCGCCAAACTAATTAATTCCGTCAAGTACAATAATATCATTGGCCTAACAAACCTCTACAAATCAATTATAGGTACATGCATACGTATTTTTTCTTTTGAAAATGATCAGATATATTATAAAAGTTCACCTAATTTATAAAGCATCTTAAACATAACAAAAATTACATCGAGATTCCGAGACCACCCAACGACTAGTACTGCCGCAAGAACAAGCCGCCAACGCGCCGCTGTCGCCGCTCCCCTACCGGATGACATGCATATGTTTTTCTGACAATATGTTTGGTGCAGTTTAAGTGTACTCATTATTAACCCATGCATAGCCCCGCAAAAAAAAAGGGCACCGATAGGCGCCGGTGCGCCGGCCGAATCGTTCGGCCGGTCCAGCCCGGACCGTTCGATTTGAGCCACGCAGCCGCTGGATCCCAAGCAAAAAAAAAAACGAATCGCCCCCAAGCTCTCTTCTTCCTCGGGCAGTCAGTTGGATCCCGTTTGGGGGAGCGCGACGCCGCGCCTCCTGTCCCCTCCGGTGGTCGCCGGTCCCCACCCTCGCCGGTCTTCCTCGTCGCCGCCGGACGCCCACCCTCGCCGCCCGTCCTCGTCGCCGATCCCTGCCCTCGCCGCCCGTCCTCGTCGCCAGTCCCCGCCCTCGCCAGCTGTCCACGTCGCCAGTTCCCATGCAACAACTCCACCTGCGTTGCAGCTCTTGACGGCGACGGTTGTGGCTCGGCCGCCGCCCCTCGCCATTGATGCTCGCCGTAGGAAATTATATCGACGGCGACCGTCAGTCAATCAACACCGTTTTGAATGGGTGTAGCAAAAAGCTTCACCCGTAGTAGCGAAAGTAAACTACGGTTGCAGCAAAAATCAAACACCGTCGCCGTCTTTCGCGAGGTCGCGACTCCGCCTTACATGGATGTAGCAAAAAGCTTCACCGATAGAAGCAAAAATCTACTACGGTTGCAGCAAAAATCAAACACCGTCGCCGTCTTTCGCGAGGTCGCGACTCTGCCTTACATGGATGTAGCAAAAAGCTTCACCGATAGAAGCAAAAATCTACTATGGTTGCAGCAAAAATCAAACACCGTCGCCGTCTTTTCGCGAGGTCGCAACTCTGCCTTACATGGATGTAGCAAAAAACTTCAGCGGTGGTAGCAAAATTCTACTACGATTGCAACAAAAAATCGTCGTTGTCATCGTCGTGAGGTCGCAGCTCCGCCTGATGGATGTAGCAAAAACCTTCGCCTTTAGTAATAAAAACCAACTACGGTTGCAGCTTCCCCTTATTATGCAGTTTCATTGAAGCTTTTCTGTCTATGGTTGAAGCTTTTTTCAACAGCTGTTGAAGCTGTTCTAGGTGACGGTTGCAACATTAGTATACGCGGGCTGCATCCAGCCATGGCGGCCGGCGAGGGAGCGCCTGGTCGCCGGC